GTCTCTAAATTTGTCTAAGTTTATACATTTGTCTCTACTAATGATGGTCTTTCTTTAACACTACATATAATGGTCAGTCTGGTGCATTCATAGAACCATTTAAGAAAGAGAAGCCAATGTTGGATCAGGCCAATGGCCCATCCAGTGCAACACTCTGCCACACAGTGGCCAAAAATTCCAGGTGCCATTAGGAGATCCAGCAGTGGAGCTAGGATCTTATGTTTGAAAGTTTATGTTAATTTTATGTTTGAAAAAAGGACACCTGCAACACAGAATTAGAAGGAAAGCAGTGATGAACTAGGAAGGAAAAACACCCACCTGGAAAGGGGCTCCACCCCCCCCCAAGAGGGGGAGAGAGAGAGGAAGAGGCAGCCTACCTACCAGCTGACCAGGCACCATCTCCTTCACCTTGCATGAGGCTTGGGTGGGCCAGGTGTCATCTCCCTCACTCCAGGTGTCATCTCCCTCACTCTTGAGCATGCTGGGCACTGATTAACAAGTGTGAGTGTGTCTTTTACCAGTCTAGGAGGCAGCTCCCTCATCTGATGTTGGGCTTAACTGGGCCAGACACCGGCTTCCTGTTCCATGCAGTGCTTAAGTAACTAAATTGTACATAGATAAGCTGGTACTGTGGGCCAGGTACTACTTCCCTCATGTTGGCTGGGCAACCCCTCCCCGCCTCCCTTGCTCCAAGCTTGATAATGAATGCACTTTATTGTTATTGTTATGATTTTATTGTTATACTGGATTTTATGTATGGGCTTGTGCCCCCTGTAAGCCGCCATGAGCCTGCTTGCGGGGAGGGCGGGGTAAAAATGCTTAAATAATTTTTTTTTAAAATAAGCTAGTTACATGTTACATTTTATGGCATACATGGCCCAGCCCAACAAAGTGACATTTATGTCAGATCCAGCTCTCATAACAAATGAGTTCAACACCTCTGCTCTTGAGAGTCCCTTGGACTGCAAGCAGATCAAATCAGTCAGTCCTAAAAGAGATCAACCCTGACTGTTCCCTGGAAGGCCAGATACTGAAGCTGAAGCTCAAATACTTTGGCCACCAAAGGAGAAGGGAGCACTCACTGGAGAAGACCCTGATGCCGGGAAAAATTGAAGGTAAAAGAAGAAGGGGACAGCAAAGCATAAGATGGTTAGATGATGTTATCAATGCAATGAACATGAAATTAAGCAAACGCCAGACCATGACAGAAGACAGGAGGGCCTGGTGTGATGTGGTCCATGGGGTCATGAAGAGTCAGACTTGACTGTGCGACTGAAAAATAACAACTATCCATATGGAAGATTCTTCTTATGATGTAATGGATGAAATGATGGAAAATGAAGATATGAATTGGCATCAGTAGTTTTTTTATATAATGCAAATGCCAGTGTGTGATCTTGAGATCTGTAGATGATTGTATCAAGACAGGGTACTTTGATCTGATTGTACTGCCCATCAAATGTAATGTTATCATGCAGTTGAGCAGCCTGTCACTCAAGGCTCTCTGGCTCTGTGAGGAATAAACTCTTAATAGTCCTTTTATCTATTTACACAGCACTTATAAAACACCACCATCGAAGAATAAAATTATTGCCTAATAAAATGTTTACTTTGTAGTTTCTAATCTGTATAACTTTTCTAAATATTGAGTAGTTTAATTCCTGTGTTACTATATATTCCTATTCCCACAATATTATGTTATACAAAAAGGGGGACCCACGATACTCGCGGGGGGGAAGCTCCACGGGAGGAGAAGGAAGCAGCTGAAGGTGAGCCGTCTCCCCTGCCTCCCATCCCCGGCACCTACCGTGAGGCCCGCGCCCCTCCAAGCTTCTCCCTCCTCCCCACCAGCACCGGCATCAAGGCCTGAACTTGGCCCACCAAGTTTTCTCCCTCCCCCCTTCCCTAGCGGCAGTGGCGAGCCCTGAGCTCGGCTCGCCAAACTTTCTCCCTCCCCCTCAGGCGGCAGCAAGGGCTGAGCGGCTTACAGCTACCGCCAGCCAAGCCTTCTCCCACCCCTGCCCTCTCTCCCTCTCCCTTCCTGGCAGCGGTGGCGGTGAAGCCGTTCTCAGAGCATTCCCTGTGCCTGCACAGGGAACGCTCTTTTACTTTTGGGGGGATTTAAATATCCCCCGCATATTTTTTCCAAGTTTTCAGATTTTTCTGCAGATATGTGGATTGCCCCAAATGTGCAGGAAAACCTCCCTGCCCCCCAAGTGCCCCCGATGTGCTGATTTAGATATCCTCACGGAGGGGGCATGTTGGGAATTAGATATATAGATATTCCTTTCCTCATTCACAGTGCCTATAGAAGTCATTTAGCTGTTGTAAGAATTAATGAAAACACATTTTAGTTTTCACATTAAAAAACAGTGACTACAAAACTGTCTTACCTGTATTTGCTCCTGTTGGAATCAGTGGCTGCCCTCCATATATTCACACAACCCCCCCCCACCACCATTTGCCATTTGTTGTTGTCTGTTTCATTTCAGCCATGCATGGGCCTCCTAATAACAAACAGTTTTAAACTGTGCTGACTTTAAGAAAAAAATTGCAGTACAATAAGGCTGCTTAATTGGAAAGGCTACAAAACTTTCTAGAGCACATTTTAGTGGTTCTGCTGGATTTTAGCCAACAGTCTTCAACTTGTACAGGACTGCCTCTTAAATCTGGAAGACTAAATTAGTTTTGATTTTAAAATCATTATGAGGTGGGGTTTCTTTATTTAAACCATAATCTTTTCTGTCAGTTTCAGGAACTAATTGCTTGTCCAGTGTAGCCCTCTCCGCTTCGCTATCACAATATAAACAAAATTAATACAGGAATAAGAGGAAAAGTATGGACTGGCAATAAGCCACACTTGGAATAATAATTTTCAGAATCTTTTTAATGGAAGCAGCTGAGAATGGAAATTATATCTGAGTTTCAGATGGGCTTGGCAGATTTCCAGATAAACAGGATTTGGTAAATGAAGGGCATTTTTTTCATGTGGCTTATACATACCAATACCAACCATTTCAAGTAGGAGTTGCATGAGCTGAAAGCCAGTTAGCTTAGTAGTTAGAGTGCTGGAATAGGGTTGGGGAGATCCAGGTTTGAATTCCCACTGCCATGGAAGCTCACTGGATGACTTTGGGCCAGTCATACACTCTCAGCCTAACCTACCTCACAGCATTGTTGTAAGGATAAAATGGAAGCCAGTTTGGGTCCCCATTGGAGAGAAAGGGGAAGTATAAATAAATATATAAATATGACTGTACATATGTGAAATTCTCTAAGGATCCTGTTATATTAAGCTTTTAATGAAGCACCTGACTTTATTGCCCTCTATTACATTTTTCTCCTACCCAGGTAGCTATTGATGAACGTATCAGGCAGCTGCATGAGGCCCACCGGGATTTTGGCCCTACTTCTCAGCACTTCCTTTCAAGTAAGTGATTGCTCCCTGTAATTGTCGTTCTTTGTTTCTGTCGTATTACTTTAAAGCTGTGTCATATATTCAGTCCTGCCATAGGAGAAAGCGGGAACATTTGTCTGTGTTTTAATTAGTAAAATAATATTAAGCACAGTTTCATATTCCAGTACTTAAGATTCATTAGGAGCTAGAGCTTGTGCTCAGATGTCCGTAATATTCAACAGAGATAGAAAAACCACCAATACAACCCTAAATCCTGGTTCTCATTAAGAAAAAGAAGTGGTAATAACCCACTCTTTGGACCATACTACTTCTGAGTACAAGTGGGACTCTCCTGATATAGAATACAGGACCACTAACTAAAAAAAAAAAAAGTACTTTCTCTGCATAGATCATTTGCAAGGTTCTAGGTAAGTATGAACAGACCATTATTATTGTATAGTTCCATTATGACTTGAGTTCTATGGCTTGTAGTAAAGGAGAATTTTGGAAGTCAGTTACAGATTTCATACAAGAAAAAAGTATATTGTAACAGAACAACAGCACTCATATATAACATAAAAGTAATCTCATTCAAAACAAGCCGTTAGGCTCGGAATTCGAAGGAGTATGAAATAGTTGTTTATTTTTTTACACTTAGATGAAGAAGAGTGTTGAACTGTTCTGTGTGTGTGTGTGCATGCATATATACACACACTCAAATTGCACTCATCTTCAACATAAAAACTGCAAATAATAGAAACCCTTGGAAAAGAATGTATTGGTTTATATCCTGCTGTCTGTTTCTGAGGTTTCTCCCTCCATTGGCAAAATGAGAGGCAGTGTTCACCATTTACTCTGTACACTGTGACCTTAACATGCTTGCAAACGTGTATACGCAGAAGTATGTCCCAATGAGTAAGTATGTCTAGGATTTCAGCCTTTGTCACCTGAGCCCTAAGAACAAAGTTTAATGGCTGCAGGGAGAACAAAGAACAACGTTTCATGGCTACAGGGCATGGCTGGCACCAGCATACCCTAAGGTGGGGAAGCTGCCAGGGCTCAGAGTTTCTGGCAGGGCCTGCTGCCAAAGAGCCTCCCCCCAACACAAGCTGCCAGAGAAGGATGTGCAGATGGTGTACAGTGGTAACACTCCTGGCAGGGATAGTGGTGGTCTATCTGCACACACCTCCCAGCGCCATTGGGGAAGATGGGCCAGGGAAAGGACATACCGGCAGGTGGGGATGTGTGGGGGTTGGCAGAATGGTACAAACAGGTCCTGGTGGTTGTCAGGGGGGGCTGGGCACTCTCTGCCTCTACCCCTTAAAAACCTAGGTGGGTAGACTCAAACTTTTTTGAAGACTATCAGTTTCTCAGTTCATTTACACTACAGTAATCTACAATTATTTCAGTGTGAACCCATTGGTTCCAATAGGTTTAGGCTGCATTAAACCTGCATAGGATTGTACAGTTAGTTACTATACAATAATCATAATCAGTACATCTAATTCTCAACATGGCCCCATCTATGAATGCTTAAATCCAGAGATCAAAACCATGGATGAACAAGAAAGATCTTTCTACAAACCTGAGAGAAGCCCAAATTTGCAGGGGGGGGGGAATCCAAAATACAGGAGCATTAAAAACCCCAAAATGATAAAAGGAAGACTTCTATCAGAAATTGATACCCTCATTGGCTGGTGCTAAGCAACCATAAAAATATTGCCAGCATTCAAGAAGAAAAGGATACAAGGAAAGGTGACAATATGGGGGCTGCCAGGAGAAGGAAAAAAGAAAATAGTGTGGGGAGGAGGATACAGGGCAAGTGAGGTGCTCCCTGGAAGTCTTTAAAGCAGCCATCACTGTACATTTATTTATTTTATTTATTATTTGTATTTATATCCCGCCTTGCCTGACAAGCAGGCAAGCAGGTACAGAGTGTTGTCATGCAGAGGCTGCCAGGGGGAGGGAAGGAGGAAAAGCTAAAGATGAGGAGCAGATAAAGGTAGGTTGGCTGGTGAGTAGGAAGGAAAGCAGGAAGAGGGGAGAGGCTATGTGGGTTTTGGGGTATGGAGAAGAGGAAATAGTTGGGGAGGAAAAAAATGAGATGTGCTCCCACAAGTCAATGCAAGTCTCTTGCTTGCCATTATATCTAATCTTCAATATAGCCAAATACATGGATACTTAAACCCAGAGACTGAAGCCATGAACAGACAAAATAGATCTTTCTGCAAACCCAAGTAAAGCCCCACGTTTGCGGGGAAATACGAAATATAAAAAGAAGGGGCTAAAAACTCTCAAAATGATAGGAGCAGCACATATAGCTTTAAGAATCAAATTCCCCCAGAGCCTGTTGCTAGGCAAATGCACAGTATTGCCAGACTTCAGGCCTTTTTTCCCCCTGTCAGTAAAAGGTGTGGGGTAGTGACAGGAGCCTTTTCAGGTCTGTTTTGGCCTTTGTATGAGGACTCTTTGGGTGACTTGGTACTACACAACTTGCATGACTCACACAGGCCAGGCTGCTTGCTATTGTTCCATAGCAGCCACAGCACAAAAGGCAGTGTCCTATAGCAGTTAGATTTTTAGACTACAATCTGGGAGGCACAGGTTTGAATCCCCATTCTGGAAACTCACTGGGCAACCTTGGACTACTTACACTCTCTAAGCATAACCTACATCACAGGATGTTTTGGGTCCCCATTGTGTAGACAGACGGGGTATTAAATAAATAAATAAATAATATAGCTAGTATGGGGGGAAGATAAATGTACAAACACATGACGCTGCCTTATACTGAATCAGATACCTGGTCCATCAAAATCAATATTGTCTACTCAGACTGGTAGAGCTCTCAAGGGTCCCAGGCAGAGGTCTTTCACATCACCTCCTACCTGATCCTTTTGGCCAGAGATGCCAGGGATTGAACCTGAGATGCTCTACCACTGAACCACAGCCCCTCCCAAAGGCAGGTTGGTTGATATGTAAGAAGAAGGAAGCTGAGGAAGGGAAAAGGATATGGGGGTTGCCAGGAGAAAGAAAAGAGGAAATAGTGTGGGGAGGAGGACATAGGGGGAAATGAGGTACCCCCTGCAAGTCCTTGTGGGTTTCCCGTCATGCAACTGGCCAGGTGCAGCCTGGCAGCTGGCACCACACAACTGGGCTATACTTTTCCTGGGTAGAGGCTACCAGGGGGAGGGAAGGAGTGAAAGCTGAAGACAGGGGGGCATATAAAGGTAGGTTGGCTGGTGTGTATGAAGGAGAAAAGGGAATAAATTATGGGGGGGGGGATTTCAGGAAAGGAAAAGAGCAAATAGTGGGGGAGGGGATAACCCCCACAAGTCCTTGCAGGTTTCCCCACGTGTATACATAAAATTCTCAACATGGCCCCAGGGCCCTGTTGAGATAAAGAACATTTTCCTGCAGAGTTGGCAGACTCTCCAGGTTTGATGATGATGATGATGATGATGATGATGATGATGATGATGATGATGATGATTTATTTACCAGATTTATACCCCGCCCTCCCAGCCAAAGCCAGCTCAGGGCAGCTTACATAAAAGAATAAAGCACATCAGTAAACAATTTAAACAATCCTAAAATCAATAATCATGTAGTGATCATCATCATCATCTGGGGAAAAACTGAGTGGGGGTTACATTTTCCAAACCAGAGGAGCATTGTCCATGTGCGAGCTGACAATGCACCTTGGTCCGAGCTGGAACCACTCTCCAATGGCAGAGGCAGCAGCACTGCAGGTGGGTAGGGGAAGGGATGGGGAAGCTGAGTGGAGGGTACAGCCAGACAGGATGGCAGAGTGGAGGGAAGGTGATAGGCTGATGGGCAGAGTAGCACAGAGGGGAAAGTAGGAGTCATCACCCCCACTCAGGCCCGTAGTCAGGATTTTTCATTTTATGGGGCAATTTTTTTTTCTTGTGGGGGCACTCATTATGTTTATATTTATACTTTATGCTATATGTATACTTTATGTATAAATAAATAATAAAGACAAGTCATTTATCACTCAAAAATATTTCAGGTTTATTTCAAAAATACTAACCATTACTGATCTTGTGGTTTGTCACATATAAATGTTTCTGGTTTATCACAAAGATGCTAACCATTACAGAACTTGTAATATTTGTCACTCAAAATTTTCTCTGGTTACAGAACCTGGTTACCATTCAAATACCCTTCTCAGCTCAGCCCATTATAGTTGAAGTTGACATGACTGGGCATGATTTTTTTTCTATGAAAGCATCCATATCAATATTCTTGTGGGTCTTTTCTCATAACTTAGCAGTACTAGATTGTGTTTCCAAAGATGGGACATCGATCGCCTCTGTGGTTTTAACACACGAGTAAGGCGAGAGAATGCTGCCTCGCATGTAGCTGTGGATGCTCCAAAAGTTACAGCAGCTGCAAGGACTTTGTATACATTACAGTATCCACCTCTACATGGGAACAGCACTGAAAGAGCATCAAAAGTGGATTTGTTGGTGCAAAAAGGTTCATTTTTCAGAGATTCACTTCTTGTGCAAAGGCATCCTCATTAGCATTAACTAATCGTATGAGAGGCTTTACTGCTTTTACATCCAAAAAGGTTTGTGAACTTGGAGTCAATGAGTCCAAAGCTGATAAGTATTCCACATTACATTTAGAGAATCGAGATTCAGCCTCTGAAATGGAATAGTCAAGGAATACCTGTTTTAAGCGCATATGAGGGGACATTTCACTGCCAGAATAGCTTGATCCAGCACTACCTTCAGCAATATAGTCCCCAAAATGTTTCTCCTTCCTTTTCCTTTTGCCATGCTTTTCTGATGTTTCTTCTCTCTCAAAAACAATGCTGTTCGCTTCACAGGTGTCAGTGGATTTTGCCAAAATCAATTCAAAGTGCATGTCTGCATTACCTCTCCTCTCCTTAAGGGCAGAAATGCAGTGATTCCCACTTTCAGCCGCTCTCCCCAAATGCATGGTTTTGTCTTGAAGTGCTGCATTACCTGGCTTAAATATAGACAACACCTCTTGCATAAATA